AAATATAATGTGGGGCAAACTTGTTCTGATAAAAAGGGGAAAATGGAATTTACAATTGGGAGGAAAATTAGAAAAATTATAAAATTATCAAAATGATTATTTTTAACATTGCAGCAATAAAAACAAAATGATAAGTTTTGAAATTCTGGATTCGGAAAATGTAACTTTTATTAATTAATTTTGAAAAATATATTTGCATGATTTTTAAACTCCGATATTACCTATTTTTAGAAGATTTCGATCAAATGAATTAATAAATCTGATTGATCTAAAAATGTTTTCATTTTCCAATTCCAATGGCTAATATGGAGTTTTAACGATTTAATATTTACTTGGGTCAAATAATTTTGCTTGTTTATTTTACTAAAATTAAAATTTGTTTATCTTATTGATTTTCTGACAGATACGCAAATAATTACTGTGATTGGAGATTTTAAATTTATTTGAAGTAATTCTAAATATTGACTCGGTCAGGATATCTATGGTTGTGATTAATTGGCAATTTCTCATAAAAAATGGGAAAATTCCAAGCAAAGTTGCAGTGAATGGAATAACTATTTTAATAGAATTGTCGCAATTCCGACAGTTTGCGCAAATCTCAAGCAAATCTGTGGCAGAAGTTTCAAAGTTATAATCTGACGGTTTTCTTTGCAGAAATAATTCCCTTTTCAGAAAACGCGAACCCGTCCTTGCTCTCTGAATGAAGCTAATTAGATCAAATTATTCAGGCAAACTCCCCCTTGCAAAGTTAAACAGAAACTTCTCCAGCCCTGCGTGAATTTCCGTACAAACGCTCACGCATAAAACAACAACAAAGTATTTCTCTCTTCAACTCGCACCTGCAGCTTTTTGATGTTGCACCGCACTTAGGTCGTTCTTAAAAGCGGGTTGGAGATGAGCACCCCGGGGGATTTTCCTCTCCATAATATTTCGCGTGTCGTTCTCACATGTCGACCTTTGAGCACGGAATCAAAGACGCTGCTTTCCACAACTCGATTTCGCGAGAGAGGAGGAGAAAAAAAGATACCGAATTGGATCGTGCGTCGGCAGAGAAATGGGCTGAATTTGCTCCGAGCGGCAGGAAGCAGGGAAAGAAATGTCGCGTTTGATTCGTCAAACTGCGTTTGCTTCCAAAAATCAATCATCCGAAATGAAAATGCGTCGGGCGAATTTCCCAAGGCGGTGCTACTTTTGCCGAGAGGGTAAACAAAATTTTCTCTCCTCGGTAAATTGTACACTGCAGCAGAGAAAAAGCTAGGAAAGAAAATTTAAAGTTTTTCTTTCTTCTATCTCAGGCAGATATAATTAAAATAAATTAGTGAAGAAAAGATGCTCCGGTGTATTTTTGTATATTGGAAGTTTAAGCAAAATTTAGGCTTGTTATGGTCATGCCTTTTTTCAAAAAATTCAATTTTTCCATCCCAACAATTCATGTTTCTTAAAGAACTTCATGAGAGCCATTTTTGGCAATTATTGAAAAAAATAAATAAAATCAAACGAGATTTTTGTAAATGTCATTTAGGATTGAAAAGTTTTTGTAACAATTTGTACTAATAAACTACAATAATAACTAAAGAAAATCAAGTCAAGCATTCAGATGCTAATTTAATATACGATTTGAACATAAATTAATAAATAAAAAAAGGAGAAGCCAATATTGTTTTATCGAAAATTTACATTTCTTTTAAAGTATTAAAAATTGTTGCATTGTATGAGATTTTATTTCATTTTTATTTTCATAAGAATTTTAATAGTTTTATGATTTAAATTTCCAATTATGTTCCTGACAATGAAAATTAATAATATAATAAATAAACAATGTGTGTTGAAATTTTAATAAAACTTCAATAAAGAAAAAGACTTTTCATCAGTCGAAAGTAATTTCCAAAATTAATAAACAAGAAAAAAACTTAATTCTGCTTTATTATCTTTTTTATAAAAAATATTTTACGATTTCTTTCTTACTCAGAAATGGTCCAGTGCAAAAACCAAATCTCCAGTTACCATTTTTCTCCAGTTTATTGAACGTTTGCATAGAAACGGTTATTTGCATTGGGCCAACACGGAAACCTACTTCTGCGGGCAGCAGAGCAAAAAGCGCTCCCAAGGGCCAAGTCATTTCGGTCTTAGCCGGGCTTCGTCACTCGACAACGAGCGGCTTTGGCTTGAGATTTGCATGGAGCGAGCAACGCTGGTGTGTTTACGGAGTCACGGGCTCATTTGCCGGGCCATTTGGCGTGTCCCACGGGAGTGCCGCTCTTTGTCCCTTCGGTGCTGATGAGCGAGCGAGCGCCTCGATTTTTACGAGGTAGCCTTCCAGCTCGGCACTCGACGCCACCCGGTTGCATAACTGCCGATGCGGCAGGCGCTCCGGATTTTCAATTTCGGCCGATCGTTGAGAGCGGCAAATTGGGCGAAATTGATTACGAAAGAAGGGCCAGGTGCGTTTTTTCGAGCTACGATCGTTCGATTTTATTGAGGGACCAACTGAGATGTAAAATGGAATTGCGATGTTTGAGCTCACAATTGGAGAATGTTAAGCGTTTGAAGTTGGTCTAGAAAAATATATTGTTGAATTTTATATGAATTGACTTTTCGGACTTTTCTAACCATCCAATTTTGAGGATATTACATCTGAGAATCTAAATAAATTTCATTTTATTTAAAGAATCTGATTTTATTGATGTAACAGAAAAAAAAATTACATTTGATTATTTTTTAATTCAATATTATAATGTCATTATTAAAAAAATCTATTTTCAATCATTTATGTTAAGTTTTCTTCCTTTCTTAAGAATTTTTAAAACAATGGTGGCTGAGATTTCTACTTGTTTTCCAAGAATTTTCATAATAACCAAAGATCCATATATTAATTTATTTAAATGTAATTATTGTTTTTAATTTATCTTCAGTATTTTTTTTTCAAATTCCTATTTATAGAACCTTCAAATATCAAATGCGAATTCTCTCTATAAAAAAATCTAAAATATGGAAGAAATCCGAAATTTTAAACAAAATAAAGTAAATCAATTAAAAACTTCGTCAACCGTGGTTCACCGAGGCGAATGGGGTCTTTTTGATTTCTTAAGTTTTAAAAAATTCTTGCCAGTGGTGGTACTCGTGGTGCCATTTTGTATGTCCAACAATTCCTTTTTGAAACAAGTTATTTTCGACAATTGAACGTAAACAATGTATTGTGACAATGTGGAAAAGTAAAAAATAATAAGAATAATTTTTTTCAAGTTTGTATGATTTTTATAAAAAATATTTACTAAGGAAGACTTCCATGATAAAGTGTAAATTTTCTTGCAACATTTTCTTCTACTATACAATTTACTTTTTATAAAAAAACGGACTGCAATCATAGAAGTGTACATTGCTCCGATAGAAACGTGCATTGTTAGAAAAGCAGAGAAAAGTTTTCAAACAAAAAGGTCTAAAAGCTGGAGGTTTGTTATTTTCCTAGCTGCACCGTGGGTTGAAACGGCCGCTCGTTAGACGGGGTGCATATCCCAGTAGAAAGGAAGCCCTTTCCAGCCCGCGGCGTAGAATTGAATGCGGCGCTTAAAATTCAGGCGGCGCTCGGCAAAAGCGGCTCGTTTACATTTCCATCAGAATGCGTGCACCGGGGCGGGGAATTATATATAAAAAAGGCGAAATGTTTGCGCGCCACAAGACGCACGCGGCGGCGGCAGGTATGCGGAAAATATTTTCCTTTAGGAATCCGGCCTATCGGGAAGAAATGCTGTCGGAATTCGGCCGGGTGTTGCCAGCGGGAGCTTCCGATAAATTAATTACGACGGAGAGAACCGTGCACGCTGTTTCAGATAAAAAAAAGCACGTGAATGTCGGCGAGAGCAAAATGGCGCTCTTTGAGCAATGGACAAGAGCCCTCGAGCCGATAATTGGCAATAATTTGGTCAAACTATTTTTAGTGTGGAGGCCGTCGAAACAACCACTACAAAATTGCCATCCAATAATTGAATGAAAGTTATTTATGGCCTCTGCTATGTACGAGTATTATCAACTTCGAAAGCCTTTTCTTATTAAAATAAAACGTTTTTTTTAAATAAAAAATTAAAATATTTTTACTATTGTCGCGTGGTTAAAAAAAAGCTGAGTTGAAATAAGTAAAATGCCTTTACCAAATCAAAAGCTAATTTCTAAGAATCAGGATAAAAATAAACAATTGAGGTTGTTTAAAAATTTAAAAATAAATAAAAAAAATTCTTTTTAAATTGTAATACTTTTTTTAAATTTACTCCCAAGACCATTTATTGATAAAACTAATCTTCCTGAATTGCGTAATTTCTGTATTTTTAGTTTTTTATAATCAAAAAAATTAAGCGTTTTTTACTAAAACTATACTAAAAATGCGTAAAATGACTAACATGAGACTTCATAAAAATTATTGAACTATTGCCTCAATTTTTATGGACATTTTTGTATTAATTGAGCCAGAAATTTTTGTTACTGTTTTACAATAGTTGCTACAAATATTATTAGATACTGAAATGCAAGTAAATGATTTTATTTTAAATTAAATAAAAATTGATTTTAGATTAGCTAATTTTAAAATCAGTTCCTCATAAAAATTTTCAGATCTTAGATTTATCATTTTTTACTTCTAATTAAGCATTATTTTAAAAAAACTTCTTTATAATAGATTTTTATACATATTAAATTCAACAATTTTTCCTGGCTATAATTTTTTAAAGTGAAATTTTCCTGGTTCTAATAAATAAATCTTGCTTATTTTCAATGATAGCGAAGTGCGGCAGTAAAAAAGCATCCGCCCAGAAAAGCCGCACTGCAGTTTTTCGTCAGACGTGCAAAAATGTTTGCGCACGTGGAAATTAGAGTGGCTTTTCTGTTTGAGTTGGCGACGCGAGCTGCAGATCCGCAAGAAGTGCAAACACGCCGGCTCTGCCCTTTTGGTGGACGGCAAGGGTGAAAAGGGGGTTGCTTGTTAAACACGGCGGTTTCCGACGCTTACTCACCGGCTCGCCGTTTTTGAACCACTTGATGGCGGGCACCGGGATCCCTGTGCCCATGCAGATGAACTCGAGCTGCGTGCCGTAGGTCACCGCCATGTCGTGCGGGTGCTCCGTGATGCGGGCCTCATCTGCAACAATACAATCCAGTGAGTAAAAAATATAATTGCTCAAGAACGTTCAATTCCTTTGTCGAAATCTACAAAATAATGTAAAATTGTAACATTGAAAAATATAGAATTTTAGAATCTAATCAAGTATTAATTAAATTGTACTAATGGCAAAGAAATACAAGTCTTTTTTATTGTATTGAAGAAATTTTTAATTTCAAACAAAAAATTATTTTATTTTATACCCCAAATATCTGAGATGATGCTTATTTATATAGGAATTCCTAACTCTACAAAATTGATGAAAAATTTACCAATTAAAATAAAAGAAAACGTAGAGCATGGTAAAGTTATAAGTATAATTATTTTTTTATTACCATTTTCAGGATTTTCTTTCATGTAATTACAATAGAATCTATAGTCAATATTACCTAAGGAATTTTTTTAAACTTTTTTACGAAAAGTTGTATAATAAAGATTAAAAATTTCAATTTTTTTGAACATGATTTAAAAAAGTGTATGTATTTATTAAACCAAAATTAATTCAATTTTTATCGACTTACTTCCAGCTTTACGACTTTTACAGTCTGAATCCCAATTACAATGAAAAACCTCATTATTCTTTTTTCATAGTGTTTTTTTTTCACCCTCATGCGCAACTTTAATTCCATCCGTCGATGAAAGAGTTAGCGTGGGTGAAGCGGAATAAAAAGTGTTTTGTTCTCCGAGTTAGTAATTTGCGACGGCGGCGGAATTTAACGCTCCACTTTTTCGCCGCGCATATTTTTGCCCGTCGAGTTTATATAAATTATGTAATTTCCTCGCTAAGTGCGGGGCTAAATGAAAAGCTACGACCAAGTCCCATCAAGAGAGAGCACCGTCGGGAAAACTTTCAATGGCAGAGCGCATCGCAATAATTTCCAATGACCCTTCTTTCTCTCTTTTTTTCTCATTCACGATTTGCGGATTTCTTTTTTAATTAAACGCGTTCTTCTCGTTCTCCACTGGGAATCCAATTAACCTGATTCGTCGGCGCGAATTTCTCGTTCGGGACGCCTAACGAATTTAGCCATGCGTGCGTCTGTTTGCGGCTTAATGCAAATGCGGCTGGGCCAAAATGGCGTCGTTCTCATCAGCAGGAGCGACGAAATTTTGTTTGGCACACACACACACACACATGCCAGTAGGTAATTCCGAGGCGGCTGTGCACGCAAATTAAAGCCCTGCTCCGGCGAATGCCTTCTGGTGCGTGAGAAAGGCACTCTCCATGCGACATTGCGTACTGAGCTTAATGGAGGAAAATTGTCCCAGGCTTGTTTAACGCTGACAATGCTCAACATTAGACTGCTGCCTCAATCTTTGCAGTGAAGATAGAATTTTTAAAGGATTTTTTTTAAATTAAACAAATTAATTAATTGAAAACACTTCAATTGAATTAATATAAAATTATTAAAAGGAAAATAATTTAAATTCAATAAACATGTAACATAAAATTTTTGCCAAATTTACAAACTGTACATGTTTCATTAAAATCTTCAACTGATATCCAGTAAATTCAATGAAACTTTTGATTAGATTGAATAATAAACAAAATTTTCAATAAATTTCAACTCCTTCCTTTTCACCGAGTTTAATAATTACATGCAAGGAAAGCACTAAAAAATAATCATTTTTTTTTTTATTTGAGAAATTTCTTCCGTCTAATAATTTCATTGGTTTCCGCGCTATCATGCTGCTTTCAATTGAACTTATTTACATTCTGAAAAGAGCAGGGCCTGGGGGAACCTTCTCGCATTGTGGCCTGGCTTGGCCGACATCATTTCCCAGGGCTGTTGAAAGCTGTTCAAAACGCGGAGATTCCACAGCGCAGCGGAACGAGATTAATTTACTTGCTAATTTGATTGGGTCGAGCTGCCGCTCTCAAATTGAAATCAGCAGCCCCCGAGATGCTTCTCCGGCGGAATAATACGAATGCGTTCGCAGCAGCGGCATCAATCAATCAACGTCAGCCTATTTGCTCCGCCACTTAGAGCAGAGATGTCTGCTTTATTAACTGACAGAGCGCGTGATATTTATCAAGAAAGATCGGCGAGAGGAAAAAAATGGGAATTCAAGATGGAGCTGTCTTCAGGGACGGAACTTCCAGCATCATGTCGCGGGCAATTATTTCAAGCAAATTCATCTGAAATTGAATTGAACTTGAAATAATTGAATTACTATCTTTTTGCTGAAACATTTTCAGTTCAAAACAATAAATTAATTTTACCAAAATAAATTTTTTTTTTGCAAATTAAATGTATTTTTTACTATTGAAAATTTAGTTGTAATATTTTCAGTATTTTTAAATTCTAGAATTTAAATTTTCTAGGTAATTTTTGAAAGAAAAATTCCTAGGATGAAAACCACATAGTTATGAGGATGTTTGTAAATTTTACACTTCAGAGGAAACGACGAAATTTGAGTTCAAAGGCACATTATTCAGACCAAACCTCGCAGCACAACGTCTTTCTTGACAAAATCCGGGAGTAAGATGCGGAAAGACGGGAAATATGAAAGACGCGAGCCTTAATTGGCACTGTCGGAGTAAATTAGCAATTAGTCGGCGCAATCACTTTCGCTCGGCTGCACAAAGGCCCGATATTATTTCACGCTGGCGAACGAATTCCCTTGCGTCGAAAATATCTAGAGGCGAATAAAAAACAAACTGCGGCAAACAGTGGATGGGAAAAAATTTTGGCGAGGGGTGAATTTGCACACATCAGTGCTGTGCGGACGACAATAAACGCGCCCGTTATTTTCCTCTGGCGCTGTTCACTCCATGTCGGCGCCCGTCGAATAATGGGACTTTGTGGAATTTTGCGCTCCGTATATTCGTGCGATCTCGACGGGACACGCACGCGACATGCTCTATTCATACCGCGTTTCCGCCTGTTACTCGATTTATCGCAAATTTGCCGCTCGTCGCGCAAACATTTGCACCAGAAAAGCGACGGCACATGTTTGTCGACTCCGTGGGTAGATCCAGCTCTAAAGCTATTCACATACATATTTGTCAGAGGGAATAAATAGCTTGCAAATCAAGTTGCGTGTTAATTTTTGTATTAAATAATACTTTCAAAGGGGGCTTAATTTTTACCAAGAGAGCTGAATTTAATCAAATATTGTTGTTTTATTTTAAGTTTGATGCAAGATTTCTTATTGGTTTAGATTTGTAACTGCATTTCAGTTATTATTTCATTTTGCAAATTTTACCGGATTTAATTTTTTATCATGGAAAATGGCTCCTATTGTTTTGAACACTTGAATTGACTATGCCAATAAGGAGTCTTTAAATCCTTTAAATGATGTTGATGAATAAAAACAAAAAGCCCAATTCTAAATCTGATCTATCATTAAATTTCAAAATTCTATCGGAGTACCTTGAAATTGAGATTAAAAATTGAATTTGTAAGAAGAAAATAATCAATTTTGACTCGAAAGATTTTTTAATTAAAGAAGTTTTAGATCCTGAATTTTTAAGCTAAAGAAATTATTGCCAGTGCTTACTTCAGGTCCTTGCGCAATATAATAACAAAACGCTTCTTGCTTTCATGACCATTATTCTCTTTGTCGCCTACTCTCCTCCTTCTGGATTATACTCGGCCACAGAGTTGGCACAACTGCCCCATTAAGGAGCATCCACCTCCTTAATTCCTCCTAACTGCACGACATACTTTGCAGAAGGCACGAAATTAAGCTTTTTATTGCCCTCCGTAGCTGGCAAGAATTTGGATAAAACTGCGAGGAGGAAAAACACACAAGAAGAAAATTTCTTCCCGGTCGTCCGGCGGCAGATGTTGCACAAAAGATCTCATTCCCACCGAAGAAGGGCGAAAATATCGAGCCGGGCCCGAGTCCATAAAAAAAAAATATTCAGGCCGTTTTTCACGATAATTTGGTCATGTGCGGCGGTTATTATTAAATTTCGAGACTCGCGGCCTCCCTTTTAAAGCTTCCTGCACCGCATTCAAATTCGACGGCCGATGCGAGTTGAATACAAATATAGCTTCATTTCCAGCACCTTGATGCTTTTCGGTGCAGCTCGGGCCACAGATGGTGGATCTTGGTCCATCTCGCCGGCTAATTTGCCCCGGCCAAATTACAAAGGGACCAGAGTTGTCCCCGAATGGCCTCCTCCGTGACGGGCAAACAAGCTTTCTGGCGAAATGAGATGCGGGACTGGATTCCGGGAATTCCTGCTCATCACGATTGTCCCTGAAGCGGGCTTTTTATTTTTAGTTGGAGAGCGAATTCCATTTACATTCTGTTGGAAGGGACGTCGTTACGACTCTCTGCAGGACTTTTCATTAGCAAATCCCTGTCCACTGAGAAAGGGTTTCCTAAAATAGCAACGGAAATTGTTCCAATTTAGAGGTTTGTTTCATAAGTTCATGGATATTTAACTGTGTAGAAAAGAGATTTGATTATAGTTTTGGTCTTCGAGACCTACAAAGTAAGCATAGAATTTGAAGGAATTCATTGTTAAATAATTTCATCTTAATTATAGTTGAAATTATCATTTTCATGACCAACAAATTAAAATATTTCATTAGATTGGATAAATTTGTATTGAACAATAAATTATTTCTTTAATTTTTTTATTAGATTCGATTACCATTTCAAAATTTAAATATATTTTGTATGATTATTTTCATTTATAAAAACCCCTGCTTAAAATTCAACTCCCCCAGCATTTTCATTATCAGTCTCCTCTTCACACGCGCCATCGCCCCAAAGCAATCGCAATTTATCGATTGGTGGCGCTGAAAAAATCCGCCACTCGTCCTGTGCTCCTCCTTTTTCCATTTTCATTCTCATGCTATTGACGTTTCTTTTTTCCACTCTTCCAGAATTGCGAGCATGGGAGCGAAACAGTGCTGCGATTTATTGGACATTAGAACAATGCCGTTGCCCGTAGACCGATATACACAAAGGGAGAGGAAAAAAAACAAGGTTTTTTGCACGGGCGAAAACATCAGGCA